TAATAAAAGTTGGTTCAACTTTATTTTTTTCTTTTCTTTTTCCAATATGGTAGTGAGCTGTTGTGGTGAAGTTCCTCAAATTTAATGTTACCTCCCCTGGTTATAGCTTTAAACTTCAGTGTATTATCTTTATTAATATATTATTAACCAAGCATTAATTAAAATATTATGTTTGTGGCCTCACTGCCATTTATTCTGTATTATTTGCTTTGTACTATTTTAATCATGCTTTATTTGTATTATTATAAAAAAATGATGTTGTTCTATTGCCTTTACTCAGTTTTAGTTTTGACAGGGGTTCATTCAGAGAGTTATTAAGTTTTCTAGCCTTTTCCTTCCTCTTCCAAATGATCCTCTTAATTTTTCTGTTCGTCTGAAAAATAAATAGCAGATTTTGGGTGGAACTACTGCTAGAGCTAACAAATATTTTGCAAATAATCTGATCACTATTTTTTTTTTTAGTTCAATATGTTTACAGAATTTTAAAACTATGTATTCTAGTAACTTAGGGTGGAACATATTTACGCATATATATGCAAGATGTAGATGTTTTTGTCTAGTTTTGGCTTAATTGCAGTTCTTATATGGTTGTTCTGTTAAAAAAGGGTTGTGTTTGAGAATCTGTACACTCCAGTTATCCATTTACTTAAATAAATGACTATTGTTTTAGTAAACAGCTTTTATTAACCCAGATCATTGTTTCAGCCCTGATTGAAATGTGACAAAAGGTAAAAAAGGTAAAAGGTATTAAAACTTTTAAAAGTCACTTGATGTAGATGTTTAGTATGGGTTTAATTTGGGACCTTTTCCGGGGCCCTATACAGAAAAAAATCAGAAAATTGACTTTCAACTAATTAAGACACTATAACGTTCCACCCTACCTTCCTCATTACTTATATCCCTTTACTATAGATGCTGACATAATTATTTTACCCTTACCCTGCTGCTTTTTACAAAGAAAATATGTTTTAAGGATTAATTTAGATTGGACCTCATCATCCAGAAGGCGACCAGTAACAGTTTAAGCATTGCTTTAGTTGTGGCCATAAAATCAGGTTGTCTTGAGAATTCAGAAAACAGTCTTTGGTGGCCACTAGATGGCAGAGGAGTCACTGAGCTGCACTCTGATGCTGTGCACAGTCACTTCATCATTCATGTCATCCTCCTGGGAGGAGCCTGAGGAAAAGATGAGTCATCTCACTCAAAATTCAGTCCTTAAAACTCAACCATTTACTGTCAACAGGCGCCGTCTTCCACTGATGCAATCTGGGTGTTGTGATGCTGAGTGTAGATTTTCTTCAGGCAGCTGCATTGGTTCTAAATATAATCTATGATTTCATATCTAAAATTGGAAGGATTCATCTTTTTGTTAAATAAATAACCCACCATTGAACACCTCATATAAACATTTATATAAGTTCACATTTATTTACTGTTGCTGGAGTTTTTGCCATGCGACTGAAAGGTTTTAACATGTAAACACAGTAACATGAGAAACATCCTTACAGACCACATCAATCATTCATCCAGCAGAGCAGCATGTTAGGTTTTATGGCCCCTGCCACAACGTCAACCTTCATTAAAACTGTCAGGATTATTAGGTAACAAATTTGGCAAAATGGTGGTTTGTGTTAAGACTTTTAGCTCCTTCTGTTTCAGTGTGTGAGCTGATGCATCTTGAAATATCTAACATTAGGCTATAAAATTACTTTTCTGTCCTGGGATGCAAGGGAAACAGAGGGATGCACAGGGTTCCCTCTATTTCAGTGAGATCTTATGATCAAGAATCCAAATTAGGGTAAAAATTCAGAAGGAGAGAATGGAGCAGATTCAAGGGGCAACAAATACGTCTCCCAGTTTCGCTCCATCTCCTGTAATCTGTTTGGTCTCCTCTTTCAGCCTCAAGTTAGGAAGACCGTCACTAATTTAATACTGAAACATGAAACCAGCACTCTGAGAGAGAGCTTAGTGTGGACTAAACAGAAAAGACTAAACCTACATAATACAGCAACTATGACATCTCTTGTTCATCTTTCACTCATCTAATATACCTAATGTCCCAAGCCAAAATCTTGGTATAATGTTGTAACTATAGAGGGGAGATGGTATTTGATGACTTATGACAAGAAAAATTGTATATCTAGCTTCAGTAATGCAACTGTTGTTTCTATGATCTTGTCTCTACAGATCGCTAAAAGTTAAGTCACAAATTAATAAACTTTGATGTTAAAAAGTTATTAGAAATCAAGTATTAAAAATAAATGATACAAGAGATGACCATTTATGATTTTCTATAAAATGTGTTCAGTCAAGCAACCTTTTGTTAGGAGTAAACTAGAACACTGCAACCCCAACCTAATGACCTAAAACATAGCAGTAAATCTATCCAGGACTAAAAGTCATGGAATAGTCTCATGGGGTGTGTTGAAAAATAACTTACATTAGCTGATACCAACTTATTCGTTCAATCCCATTTTTGCATGTAAGTGCAGTTAGTTTTTATATTTCAAAGATGAAAATCAGACATCAATATGCTTAAGAATATTGAAGGTGAAATGAAGATGGGTAGAGTACCCAAAAACTGTGCTCATTTAAGAGTAGCACTACTTCATTATAATTGTACTCAAGTAAAAGTTAAAAGTGGCCTTCCAAGAAATGATTCAAGAGTTAAAAAGTATCTGGTAAAAAGGCTACTGAAGTACTGAGTAACTTCTCTATGTTATCATAGCATCTAATTTACACACAAAGTGAAATGCAAAGTCAGATGTTCCAAATATGTCATGGTTTTGGTTCTGTTTAAGTTCTCCTTTTGTTCATTTTGGTTGCATTTCTATTTTAGCTCTTTTCTGGTTGTATCTGAGTTCTTATACACCTCTTTTTTTACCCTATATTTCCATCTTATGTCAGTCTCCTTCCTCTAGCTCCCTTCTAGTTTCTTCAGTCCACACCTGCTCCCAATCAGTTCATTACCCCAGTCTTTGTTCTGTTTGGCTAATATACTCTTCTCTTCAGTTACTGTTTGCTGGTTCCTTGTTTCTTTGTCCCTCTTGTTTGTTTTCACTGAGGTCTGCTGGTTTTTGTCATTTTTGGATTTTTGCTTCAATTGCCTCGTTTAGTTAAATCTGCAAGAAACCACCTCAGCTTCCGTCTCTTCATTCAGGTTCTCTAAAAAGAACTCCACACAACCTGACAAAAGGATCAGTATATACCAGACATGTTCACAAGTCATTTTTTGCAAGTCCAAGTCAAGTCTCAAGTCTTGAGAGCTGAAGTCCAAGTCAAGTCTCAAGTCTTGAGAAGGCCTGTCGCAATAATCCATTAATCGCACAAAAAATTCTAATCACTTGATTAATTTAAAAAAGTGCAATAATTTTTGTGCTTGCTTGTTTCTCCTTGTGTTTTCATCTCCGTCACTGAGACGGTATAGCTTAAAGGTCGCTATTATATCTATGGAATTATCATTATCTTGAACTGCTAAATGAAAAAATACAATTAAAAAAAGCACACACGCAAAAATTTTTTCCAGATAAATTTAGCGTTTTCTTACAGTATTTCCTGACATTTGTGGTTACAACTTTTTCTAGATTTAGCAGTAAATGTCTGCTCTTTTATTAAAAATGAGGACTGTGGAAAAAAAAAAACAATCACAATCCTGCCGTCCACGTACTGTTGCGTCAGTGACGTCAGTGTGTTGCACAGGGAAAAATATGATTTATGGTTTTCTTTCATTTAAATGTTAGTTTTATGCTTTGCATGTTTGGAGAGGAAGATATGATTTGTTTTTCTTTGTATTTTCTTCTTGAGCTTTGCATGTTTTGATGTTTCTTTTTTATATGATTGTTTTCCTTTATTTTAGACTTTTGAATTTTTCCTGCATGTTGGGTTGTTTTGGTTTGTTTTTCCCTTGTGACAATCCATGCGCACTGGACTGAAGTAGTTGTCTGAGGAGGCGGAGTGCATTAATTGCGCTGCGTAATTGCTGCGCTCAGGTGTGAGCAAGGGCTGATTAAAGCCGACATAAAAGGAGTCTGAAGGAAAGGAGAAGGAGAACGTAATCTGCAGGTGACAGACACGGACGCGCTGCTGAGGGAGATGCAGGCGGGATCCGTGCGCACTGATGGCCCAGTAAGGAGTATTAGGGCAGAGGAGGAACCTCGCCTGTAAGTAGCGCTCCCCCTCGCTTAAAGCATAGACAGGAATATGTCTTCCGACGGGGTTTTGGCGCGTGGATGCTGGCGTTCTCCTTGCTTCTCTTTTTAGCTGGATCGGTCTGGAAAGGGGTGTGGCACGCCAGGGAGTGGAACAGTGCTGGAGCGCCGCAGAGTCTGTGGATCAGCCAGTGAGTGCTGCAGGCTGATCACTCGCACCAGAAGCAGCAGAACAAGCGGAGCCCAACTTCCAGCCTCTGATTTTTAAGGAAAACTCTTGAATTTTAGGTTTTATCAGGAGAAGAAAAGGACTGTTTTATTATGCCACTTTTGCTGTGGCTTTTTGTATAAATAAAACGCTTGAACTTGAGTGCTTCACGGTTTGGGTCTTTGAGTTTTCTTCTGTGTGCGGGTAAGGCGAGCGGCGATCAGTCAAGTTAGTAAAACAAAAAACACTTAAGTGTTTTTACACTGGAATAAAATATTGTTCACAAGTCAGAAATCACGAGTCTCAGTCGAGTCTGAAGTCTTTTAAATGCAAGTCTAAGTCGAGTCTGAAGTCATTAAATATGCGACTTAAGTGCGACTCGAGTACGAGTCACAAACTCGAGTCCCCATCTCTGGTATATACAGTATAACAATCACAATTTCAAGGTGGAAGAAACACTTTAAAAATGTGTTTCATTTATCATATTTTAATTTTCATTGTTAAATCAATGCTGTTATTCTGTCAAAATAGGGTTAATGTCTTCCAGTAACAAGACACAGTAAACTGTTAATGCATCTTCACATAACCTCCAAATGATACAGCAGGAGCCAAAAATAGAAAATAGCAAGACAGACCGTGGGATTACTTCAAAAAGCGTTTATTGAAAACAGGCAGATCTGCAGGGCATTAACCTCTGCAGGAGAGAAACACAGGTTAGTGACCACGATAATCTGAGGGATGATTATGAACGCATTAGTCACAAACCTGGTTTAACAGTTCAGTCCAAAGCCAGAGAATGAGGTAGGATCCAGCCAGTGGGCTGCCAACAAGATGCAGCGGACACCGCCCAGAGTTTCCCAGATGCTGCAGCCTAAAAAAAAAAAAAAAAAAGAGTCTGAAGCCAGGTCAAGCAAACAAATCAAAACAGGAACAGGCAAGCTCAGATGTCCGGGAGTATGAAGCCAGGTCAGGGAAACGGATCACAACAGGAACATGAAGGCTCAGAGGCCCAGGAGTCCAAAAATATTTCAGCCAGACAGGAACAGGCAGGCTCAGTGGTTGAGAGGATCAGGTGATCCGAAACACTAAGGTAAATCTAAGTACACTCTCACTACTGACATCAGATTGGAACAGGCAGGCTTAGTGGTTTAGAGGCAGAACATGTTTGGATCAGGAAATCAGAAACACAAAGGAACTCTAAAACCACTCTCACCACTGGCTAGAAAAAACAAGATAATCTGGCTCTGATGACTGGAATCAAGCACCTTAAATAGAGGCAGGAGCAGATTGATCTGCTGAGAGGTAATGAGCAACTGGGCAGAGTTAGACAGGTGAATGGAATGAGTAATTAAGCCAGTCATCAGTGCCAAGATCATGATATTTTAAGTAACTATTTTGGTTGTTCATGTCAGGGGGCATATAAACTTCTTTGTAGAAGGCCTTATTAGTTGTGATTTCTTTCAGCAGAACTAACATAGAATAAATGATAGTAGGATTAATTTAAATAAAGCAACAATTTCATGGTTTGATATGGACTCTGGATTCCCCAGACAACAATCTACTTCAGCATCTGTACTATTGGCTATGCAGACAAACTCAGGGCATGAAAGCAACTCCCTGCAACTTTCAGGACTTAAAGGATCTGCGACTTTTGGCTTGGAGCCACAGACTGCAGTAGACCTTCAGAGGCTGGGGGGAGTAGATTCTCTGATGAATCAGGTTGTTCATGCTGAAAAAAGGAAGACTTGTAAAGCAGGTGGGTTTTGTTTTTTCTGTTGTTGATCTGATCAGATTTCCAGGTGGCTATGACTGTAGTGATACACATTTTTGACATTTAGACAAGGAAACAAATGAATCAGAGTTAACAAGATCTTAATGGCATACTTATAGACATTAGATTGTTTTTCACACAATGTTAAGAAAATATTGGGACATTTAACCTCATAGGAAGATGCAAAAGTTATACTTGTGTAAACATGATATAAATTGATCATTACCAAAAATATCACAAGTCAATTCAACTAACTTAGAAATATCTCGGTCATAGTTTACTTTACTGTAGTTTATTGATCTTAACAAAGCTGCATAAACATATTTCTATTTATGTATAACAATAAGTCTGTGTTTTATATAGTCAGTCATTTTCCATATTATGTGATTAGAGACAATGTAACTAAATATCACCATAATCAAGCCATATTTTAAATAAAAGCAGCTTGTGCGTTTAGTTTTTGGCTGTCAGACTGAGCCATGAGGGTCTGTGCGTGTGTTGGTGGCTTCGTTTGCTGCTATTTCTGACCGTGTTTATGAGACTTCTGGCTGGCTGGATTGGATGATTTGCTCAGGGCTGGGCTCTAATGGCCATAAGCATTTGGTAAATGGAACTCACTTTCAGCTGTTTTCCCCTGGGCAGTGCTTCTGAGAACAATGAACTGTCCTGGATGGTAAGAGCTGCATTTGTGAGACCCAGTCTGAAATCCTGCAGAACAAAATCTAATTGCATTGAGATGGAAATGAATCATCCTTTGGTTGAGCTGCTCACCTTTCTTAGAGAAATGGTTGGAAATGCTTCTTTGTCTAAATCAATATCTTTCACTTTCATTTTTTTGAAAATGTACTTCCATCCTTTAAACTTTTGCTGCTTTGTTAAATGTCACAGCTTTCATGGTCTTCCCCTTGTAGTTTTAATGTGATGATATCGAGAGCGTGTGGTGTGCATTTGGATTCAGCCCTTAGAGTCAATGTCCAACTCTCTGAAACAAAAAACAGCTCCAGGTCTACTGAGATATGTTTCTAAACTTTGTATAGCTATGTTACAGGTGGTATGGGCATTGTTCAGGCAGGATAAAAGCGGAAGCTGTGAGCATTTCTGGGAAGGTTTCAGTTTCCGTGGGACGTCAGCACGCCTGTTGGTTCAATGTTTGTTAAGCATTTGTCAAGAATGTGGGTGAGTGTTTTTAAAGAGTGGGGGTTATATTACCTTTTTATTTGGACAAATAGGCATTTTAATAATTGCAGGTTTTTTAGACCAGGCTGTGTATGCAGGGAGATGAGTGTGATGTACACGAAACACAGGTATTTTTAAAGATTTTAAGTCGGCTGTTAAAACAATACATTGATTGCATTTTTTGTAATTTGGTGTTTTCTGTATGTTTACAGAGATGTTTTTTGTTGCTCCTGCTGTCCTTAGGTTTATGTTTAGTTTTTAGGTTAGTCCAACCCTCTGTCTTTGGTCCCATTTTTCAATTGTGAGGGCGGACTAACAGTTTTTTTTCTCTTCTTATCTTTTTTCATTTATTAGTTTGTTTTTTTTTCCCTTGGTCACTCTCCCAAGCACACTGTGAGCTATAGACAATATTATATCGGATCTGATCGTTTGCAGTGTTCAGTGGTGACCATGTGCAGTGTTTGTTTTCACCTGATTGCTGTGAAACCTTGTGTAAGTGTGCGATTTTCTTCTTCTGGCTATGCGGGTTTGTCCGCCATCCAACTACATGTCAGAGTGTAAATATTATATTGTCTACCTTAAGCCATCAGTGTTGTAGAAAGAGAGGAAAAGGATTTTTTTAGTATAATAAAGAATGTATATTTTGGCAGTGGGAAAGAAACTGTTGCAGAATCTACTGAACCAGCATCGAATGCTGCGAAGCCTCTTCTCAGAGGGCAGCAGGGAGAACAGTCCATGATGGGGGTGTGAGGGGTCATTGATAATGTAACGGGCTCAGGACCCATAGCGCTAGGATGAAATGTCCTCTCTGCATTACATTATACATCTGGATGTTTTTTTAGGGTTCTTCTGCCTGCTATATTTAGGTCAATCCTTAATTTTTCACCATCGACCGGGGAACATTCCAACAGAGATCATTATGTTGAAGAAGGTTGACAGTTTGTATGCAAAGTCCATAGCCAATTGTCCAAACATGGGCACAGCTAAACAGGAAACATCTGCTGGTAACAGATAACACCTATGTGGTGACGAAACGCTTTTACTGATAAACTCAGGCTTATCCTATCGTGTCACACAAGATGAGAGGATAAAAATCAGTGAGCACAAACTCTGGTACTTCTCTGCCTTCTGGACTGCGTTTACATTGTATAACCAACAAACCGTCCGTCCATTTGTACACCCTGGACAATGTGGTGCGACAGACTGGTGTCTGTCGCACCACATTGTATAACCTCACCACTTAATTTCTGCACTGCTTTCTTTGCCCTGTTAGTTTAAAATATTAAAGTCTAGTTCTACTCTGAAGTCATTCTAATATTGTTTTAATGTGGATTAGTGTAGGATGTTAAGGACCATGTTATAACACGTGAATCTGGCAGCTGATTTATTAATTTTACTTTTTTTTTGTTGATTCTGAATTAATTAAATTCAATTTAGTAAAAAAAAAAAAATTATTTATCCCAATGGGAAACGAAACAATCAATATTAATATAGAACTTCTTATCAATATTAATATAGAACTAACAAAACTGGACTAAAGATGACTTGGAAACAGGTCGGATTAAAAATAGGAACATTTTAAAGACTGGTAGTATCTGAATAATATGCTGGCTATAATGTCGACTTGTTCTAATCACCCAAAGGAAGGTTGGGCACATACACTATATTGCCAAAAGTATTTGCTCACCCATCCAAATTATTGGAATCAGGTGTTCCAATCACTTCCATGGCCACAGGTGTATAAATTCAAGCACCTAGGCATGCAGACTGTTTTTACAAACATTTGTGAAAGAATGGGTCGCTCTCAGGAGCTCAGTGAATTCCAGCGTGGAACTGTGATAGGATGCCACCTGTGCAACAAATCCAGTCGTGAAATTTCCTCGCTCCTAAATATTCCACAGTCAACTGTCAGCTGTATTATAAGAAAATGGAAGTGTTTGGGAACGACAGCAACTCAGCCACGAAGTGGTAGGCCACGTAAACTGACGGAGCGGGGTCAGCGGATGCTGACGCGCATAGTGCGAAGAGGTCGCCAACTTTCTGCAGAGTCAATCACTACAGACCTCCAAACTTCATGTGGCCTTCAGATTAGCTCAAGAACAGTGCGCAGAGAGCTTCATGGAATGGGTTTCCATGGTCGAGCAGCTGCATCCAAGCCATACATCACCAAGTGCAATGCAAAGCGTCGGATGCGGTGGTGTAAAGCACGCCGCCACTGGACTCTAGAGCAGTGGAGACGCGTTCTCTGGAGTGACGAATCGCGCTTCTCCATCTGGCAATCTGATGGACGGGTCTGGGTTTGGCGGTTGCCAGGAGAACGGTACTTGTCTGACTGCATTGTGCCAAGTGTAAAGTTTGGTGGAGGGGGGATTATGGTGTGGGGTTGTTTTTCAGGAGCTGGGCTTGGCCCCTTAGTTCCAGTGAAAGGAACTCTGAATGCTTCAGCATACCAAGACATTTTGGACAATTCCATGCTCCCAACTTTGTGGGAACAGTTTGGAGCTGGCCCCTTCCTCTTTCAACATGACTGTGCACCAGTGCACAAAGCAAGGTCCATAAAGACATGGATGACAGAGTCTGGTGTGGATGAACTTGACTGGCCTGCACAGAGTCCTGACCTCAACCCGATAGAACACCTTTGGGATGAATTAGAGCGGAGACTGAGAGCCAGGCCTTCTCGTCCAACATCAGTGTGCGACCTCACAAATGCGCTTCTGGAAGAATGGTCAAAAATTCCCATAAACACACTCCTAAACCTTGTGGACAGCCTTCCCAGAAGAGTTGAAGCTGTTCTAGCTGCAAAGGGTGGACCGACGTCATATTGAACCCTATGGATTAGGAACGGGATGTCACTTAAGCTCATATGTGAGTCAAGGCAGGTGAGCAAATACTTTTGGCAATATAGTGTATTTCATTCTCTTATTTTAGGTGTCTAACATGGCGTATGTGTCAGGCACAGTGGGTGGTCCATTGTCCCAGTTACTCTTCTGTGTCTGTGCAGGGTAATGAAGATGTGTCTCTATCCATTTCTGATGGTGCTGCAAACAAAGAGTCTCAGCATCTATTTCATATGGAACATACTACAAGTAAAAATTCTCAACCCTGAACAGATCATCTCTTCTGTATAATGATTAATGGGACATGGCTCTGTTTGATGTGGTGCTGAATTTTAGGTTTAGATGCTCTCCACAACTGGTTTAACCCTGTAGTAAACTCTAACTTGGTCTCTTAAGATGATGACTGCTCTTTAATTAAGACTTAATGATTGTTTTAAACACGTTAACAATAAATTATATATCAGTGTCAGTAAAATCTAGTATTGCTGAACATCAACGGCTCAGGAAGTGATCTTTAAGCCTTTTAAGTTCACCATCTCTTTTTGTTGTAAATGAGACAAGGTGACAACTTTTATGAATTAGATTTGCCTTTAATAAAAAAAAAAAAACTAAAAAAAACAGAAAAGTATAGAGGGGTCAATTCACTGACTTTCCTCAAAAATGTTAAACAAGTGCGTCACAAAAAAAGTCCAATGTTATTGCAAAAAGACAAATTTATACTTAAAATGTAATGACACTTGTATACCTTATAATATTGTTGAACTTAGTTAGATTTCATCAGAGTAGTGCAGCATAATTTATATAAAAGTTGAAATAAAAAAATGCAGCATGCATCAAATCTGAACAGCCAACACCAGTAAATGAGCTTTAGCTGTTTTTTGCATATATTTGAGTATTTCAGTTTTTGCATTGTAAGCTGCACAGCATAAGATCCCTGCTTTCTGTGCTGACGGACGATTATCAGAAGAGATGGTTCCAAAGATCGTCTTTCCATTTATTGTCCTGCGGTTTGTCTGTTCGGAGTTCCTTGTTTCTCAGTTTTTGTGATCTTAAAAGCATTTCCAAGTACCTTCCTTATAAATGCAAACAGTTAGTTAGAAAGACTTGGCTTTATGAGTGTTTAGGAATTTAATAGTGATACATTAAAGTTATATACACTGTCCTTCACAGTTATTGGCAATCCTGAAAGAGATTTGTGAAAAGCCTTGAAATCAAATCTGCTTTGCACACTTAATAATGTGTAGCACTTTGTTATTGACATGGAAGCTGCTTCGGAGTTTGTCTGACTAGCTATGTGTTTCGCGGACGGAGCCAGCTCTGCTTCTGTCTCCTTGAAACCCAGTTGGCCTCTGCAGATGGCCGATCACACTGAGTCTGGTTCTGCTTGAGGTTTCTTACTGTTAAAGGGGAGTTTTTCCTCTCCACTGTTGCTACAAGCATGCTTAGTGTCAGGGATTGCCTTTGAGTCATGAGTGGATGCAGTCAAATGCTTTTCCTTAAGTAGAGAAATTTAAATCAGTTTGACTGTATGATCTGGTTGAATTGTCTCTGTAAAGTGAGATGACATGTGTTGTGAATTGACGCTATATAAATAAACTGTATTAAATTGAAATTGTTATTAAAGCAACATTCTTGAATAAAGAATAAATAAAGCTTTTTGCTGATTGCTTATGTGCTGATTTATACACTTTTTGCAATCATGCTTTATTGTTAGGATTCCAGTTTGTGTGGGTTGTTTTTGTGTTTTTCTTCTCTCCATTACCAGATGGTGCCCTGTTCTTGTTGGGCCTCCTTGCACACCTGTGGCTCGTTGGGTCTTTACCAGAGGAGTATTTGAGCAGTGGGCTGTCACTACCTTGACGCCAGAGTGTTTGCCAATATTGGGTACTCTAGCCAAACTGAGATTAGCAGAGTCCAACCTTAGCCTTGTCTCCCTCAGTCTAAACTTGCTTTGTCTTTGTTCTTCGGCAGGAAGCCTTCCTGTATCACTGGATAAGCCTGGACCTTCTACCCCCCAAGAAGGATTAACTGAGTGACACTAAGCAAGGGGAAACCTCCACATGATCCGTTTAAGTCAACTTCTGGAAAACCAAGTGACAGTCCGCTACTTTACTCCTCTGGGTCCAACATTAGTCTGCCTGTCCACTCTCCAACAAGTTCATTCTTCTCTGGATTTAACCCCACAAACTGGATCCAAGGAATAACCAAGAGCCCTGCCAAACGTGAGTACCTCTCTTGCAATATACAAGCGTCTGTCTTTTTTCCCACGGTCCCTGAACTGATAATTGTGATCTCCCCTGCAGAGGTTCCAGTTCACCAGTCCACTGAGGTCCAACAGTATTACCCAGTAGAATATCTCTCTCCATCTGTGTTTTGCTAACCCTCAATAAACCAGTTAACTTTTACCCTTGGTCTCTGAGTGGTTCTCTGCATGTGGGTCAGATCTTTAAATCCCATTATGACATTTATCAATAGACCAGCCCTTATGTATTTGTTTTTTTAAAAAGTTGGAGCTTAATGAGGGGATTATTTCACCATTTCTTATGGTACGGTCTATTTATCTATAGTCCTGGGTCTTCTTGAATCTTGTTGTGTTTGTTCATAACTAGTTTACTTTATGATTAATGTCTGAAATGACCATCAAGGATCTTGACTTTGTCTTGTACGAACAGTTTCTCTGTCAATTTGGTTTCATGTTACTGATTATTATCATACTGAACGACCCATCGCTGATTAAATGTGACTTAAGACAAGATTTGTTTCTAAAATTCCTTTGGTATTGATAGAAATGAAGTTGTTGAACTCTTTGACAAGGTTTTCGGGATCTATTGATAAGCAGTATCACACATTTACATTTCATGCAGGCTTGGCATGGTGTTGCCAAAAACGTTCAATCTTAGGCTGTGTCTGAATGTCCGCCTTAATCACTATATAGGGCACTATATAGTGGTTACGGCGTTTTAAATGAGTGTCCGAGCGTCTAGTGGATGAAAAAGTAGTGGAATCGAAATTTGAAAACTAGCGATCCTCCATGGTCACTAGACGAACAGATACTGTATATCCCGGAATGCTTTGTTTAGAGAGCTCTCCCTGCAAAGCATTATGGGATATGCTGTCACATAGGCTGTCGTGACCTGATCACAGCACAAACCTCCAGTTAAAGGTTTGCTAATATTCATCAAACTGCACATATTTTTAAAGAGATAAAAAGCTTTTCCCAACACTACACCCATTCAACTAGTTAACATCCAGGGATTGTCATGGAGACTTTTTGTGACAGGGACTTTTGGGATTTTTTTTTTTTTATATCCGTCACTATTTTCCTCGTAAAAATGGTTATCATCTCTACCTTAACTGAATCCGTTTTTTTTTTTTCTCTTTTTAAAATAAAACTTGGAGAAAAGGACCTTCCCTTTGGCCAAACTCTCATAAAAATAAAGCAAGATGTATTACATAGAAAATGTTTCATTTACATTTCAGATAGAGGGTACATCACGCATGCCTATATAAGTGTAAAACTGGTGAAGTTGTTCAAGATAATTATTTCTTAACAGGAGATTTGTTTTCAATGAAATTCTGATTCTCAAATCAAAAGTTGGATTTCTGAAAGCAATTCAAGTTCAATATCCTGCAATATAAAATGAAATCAAATAATATTTTAGGGCTTTGTGCAAATCTTTATCAGAAGTGACCCTGACTGTAGAAAGTGGTGTATTACTGAAACATTCCTGTTACTTGTGTGGAAAAAAAGCTGTGATTGAAAGTTGCTCTACAGTTTATGCAAAGCAACACTTGATCTTTACTGATTTTAACTTTTTCATCATGGGAGTATCAGAGCTCCCAGAACTAATGTGGCCTTCCTCAGACCTCTATTTGTTCCTGCTGTCCCTCGACCACTCGTCGTCTTCCTCCCCTATAGGATTTAGTCTCCCATTCTGCTCCAGCTGATCCTTACTTTCTTGTGATGCTTCATATCTGAAGGCAAAGGCCGCGTTCTCCGCTTCCTGTTCTCCGTGTGCCAGAGGGAGGCTCGCGGTTGAGGAGTGCAGGCTCTCTCCAGGGTCGTCCTTCTCTGTGTTTTCACCTGACCAGCAAGCGCAGCAATGGGGTGTGACATAAAGGTAGACAAGGATCAAAACCACACTGATCACACAGGCTCCCAGGGTGGTGTATGCTGTTTTAAGATCCTCCAGCCCATGGCTCTTTGTGTAGTTTAACACCACCACAGTAATTTGGACAGTGTCAATTAAGGAACTGTTGTTAGCATAGCAGGTGTAAACCCCAGAGTCTTCAAGCTTTAGTGGGCCTATCTCCAGGTAAGTACCACCCTCTTTGATCTTGGTGTTGTTTGCTGAAGATGCTGAGATATTTCCTGGCAGTACCCATCTCTTTTCCATGTACTTCTGTCTAGTGTCACAGTCAAGAAGCAATTTCTGCTCCAGATTAGCCTCTCTTATAAGAATCTTGTCATCATTGCAAGTGATGTTCAGTATTTTTTTAGTCTTTTTGTCTGGCATTGTACATGTGTGGTTGTCTGCAAACCCTGAGACAGAGCTTAACATTCTGATGTCCCAGCTTGCCACCAGTTTATACAGCTCACAGCTGCATGTAAGAGGATTGTTATGAAAGTAGACACCATTCTTCATCCAGGCACGCATGGACTGGAGCTCCTTTATTGGCAGGTCCTTGATTTTGTTGAAGGAAACATCCAGCAGTTTAAAAGTATCCAACTTGCTTCGCTCCTTTAGCACCTCCAAGGGGATGCGTGAGATCTGGTTGTGGCTCATGTAAAGCTTCTGTAGGGCGCCCATGCTAGAGAAGGCAGTGCGATCAATTTTAGAAATGTTGTTCTTGAAAAGGACAAGCACCTCAAGGTCTTCCAGCGGCTCAAAGATGAACTCATCCAGTAGGGTAAGGCCATTATAAGAGAGATCCAAGTAACGAAGCTTTTTCACATGAACAAATGCCTCGGAGGAGAGAAAGGTGAGACAATTGTTGTTCAGCAGCATTGTCTGTAGCATGTTGAGGTCAGTCAGGGTCCACGTGGCAAGGAGTTTTGTGATGTTGTTAAAGCTGAGGTCCAGAACGGATGTATGGTTAGGAAGATTTAAAGTGACATGTTCTAGGTGTAAATTAGAGCAGCTGATGATGTTACTAGCACACACACAAAGTCTTTTGTGGTCCAGAGACTTTCGTTTTAGCAGTCGATTAACTCTAACCACAGGAAACACTAAAGCTAGATGCAGAAATAGGAGGAAGCATCTTCTTGAGGCCCGCATGATGTTGGGACTCTTTCCACACGATCCTGAATTTGTTGAACCAATATCCAGAGCAGATTCTTGATGCTCTAAAAAAAAGAATAAACAATGTACATGATATCAAATTAAACTGTTGTATTGAGATATAATGCAATTGGTTAACACAGCATTATGGATTGTTAAGCAGAAAGAAAATAGTAAAAAATGATTGCTTTTAGATTAGATCTCTTCCTATGGCCTCTCTTCCAGCAGATTAAAGGACTGGATTATGAGGTTCTGTAGAAGGATAGGAAGCAGTCTAGCTTTTTTTTTTTGCAGAAAATTGGGACTCAACTCTCCATTGAGCAAACACAAATAAAATCAATTAGAAAAACTCCTTTAGTATACTCCTTTAGTGTTTATTCGCTTAGCTGGTATCTTGGATTGATACCCATTCAAAACAGGGTATTCAGGACACCAGTACATGAAGCATAATTTTAATCACTTACACTGCTGATAGCAACTGCATTTAATCCTATTTTCTAAATTATCAATGCTGTATTGCAACACACAGTGTAGAGAAACGTTAAAGTAACTCACCCAACATTTTTGGAGCTTTTAAACATCATTAATCTTGAATAAAATTACTGAACAATAACACCACACACCCCATGTAAAAGACTTCATTAGCTCAGTATACGGTTAGTTCTAATGAAAGCCTGATAATCCACCATTGATTTGTCAGGTATGTGGTTGTAGGGAAACACCTAAGGATTGGTTTAGATGCGAGCATAATCATGTATTGGTATGAACCTGTCAAAATCCAACCCTAAGATGCGATTAAAAGTATAGTGGAGATCTCCACTTTAACAAAAAATGTACATGCACAACCCTTTACCTCCGAGACAGAACACCTATTAAACGAGTGTGAGAGCATGCACGAGCCCATTTCTCCTCGTGTTTAAAAGTTGTTGCTTAGCTTACTTTCCAAGCTTACTTTCCAAAAGAAGATTGGCAATTTTTCCTCTATGTGAGACTCACCACCAGTAAGTGAAAATGGTGACGAGCACGTAGGACGGCCTTACGTAAACATATCACCAGAATAATTGACAATAGGATGACCACCTATTTTAATGATCCACCCAGGAAAAAGAACGTCCTCCGATATACCTTTAAGAAACCGAGACAAAATAGCGCAAAATAAATTCTCATACACTCTCAATATGAACAATTTTTAAGAGCAGATAAATTATTTTATACCCTTCTTCACTTATAGTTCCAGAAAAAGGTGGTTCTATAAAGTGTTAGCTCTGGAAGTCTGACTTGAATTTCACATCATACTTTTTACGTATGGTCATTTAAACATTATAATTTGTAAAGTAATTTTTGCCGGTCTGTGACAAAATCGGAGCAAATACATTGAATTTGACTTTGGGGTTTAGAACAGAGAGCATCTTTTAGGGAAGATGTAAGTTTAGTGAGGTTTGTGAGAATATCCTAGAAATGCATACAATTAGAGGCATGTCATTGTGTCAAATACAAAAGAAACAATAAAGCATGCAGGTTTTACTTGGTCCGTGGTGACTATCCAGTCATTGTCTTCCTCCGCAGAGTAATAAATATTTGTCCCAACTGGCAGAGTCCCAACAGCCTCTGCTTTACCTTCAGTTGATGATATCAGGAGTTATCCTCTTCTTCTCCAGCAGTGAGCAGTGGAGATCAGTGGTCCCATCTGTCAGTTTGCTACAACACACATGAGCAGAGTTTGCTGGGCAGACCAGATCTCCGAGGGGAGAAGTACAACCAGCTGCTATCCGATCCGATCCGAGGGGTGTGAACAGCAGGGGAGGGGCTGACTCTCCTCTCTCCTCCACTCCTCTCTTATGTCTCAGTCACATCACTTAGAGACTGAAATTACTCAGAACAGGACTGCAGTGATGTAGAAAGAAATAGATTCATTATGGGAAAATTTGCTGAGATCTTAAAGGTAGCAGCGAATCAGGATAGTTTTTATTGCAGGAAAATATACAGTTAACCTTGAGACAGAACCACAGATATATGTTTGTTTCTTAAAGAATGGTCAGCAAGGTTTATTTTTTACATTCTGCTGCATTTCAAATTCACTTTATGCTTTTTTTCTTCTTCTGGATCGTCTCATAAGTGTGCAGAAGGTCAAGACAAAGGCTCATTGCACAACCTGCAGCAGTCATTAAAACAAGACGTGATGAGCATGCAGAATAACATGAGGTCTTAGCATTAGGAGCATGAATGCATAAGTGTGATTAAAATCAAACAAAGAACAACTTCAGATAAACAATTTGATCAACCAAAACAATAAGATAGATAGAGCAGACTGAAATATAACATTCAATATGCTGAGGGAAGATATTAATAGCCTGAAGAACTAATCTTATGAATTATATGCACTTATACATACATAGCTATAGATATTCCATTATGCAGCTATGGAACAGTCGCATTTAGCAGTAGCGGAGGACCCACATGCAAAAATTGACTGACAAAAACCTGGTTCTTGTTGGGATCTGGAGATCTGTCACCTTTCTCCAGCAGAGAGCGCCCTGGGTCTCCTGAGCTGAAGCCACCTGCACACCTGAGGCTGATTCATCTCATCAGGAGACCAGCTACTTAAGCAGCGGCTTGACTTCCCTTCAGCGCCGGAGTGTTGACCAGTTTTGGCTAGCAGAACCTGAGCCTCAGCCTGAACATAGAATCTCTGTCTGCTCTGGAGAGTAACCCTGATTCTAACCAGCCTATGTCTTCTCTGCCTTATAGGAAACCTGATTGAAGTCTGTAGCTCTGGAGGAGCTCATGTTTGCCTGTCCTAAGAAGCCAAACCTGAAGATCCTCAGTCTGAATCTCCCTGCTAGTTCTCAGGAGAGAACTTGGAGAACAACTCAAGGTCTGAACCTCGCTAGCCTGAAGCTAAGCTCTGCCGCTGCTAAGCTCTCTGCTGAACCCACAGTCTCTGGACCCAACCGGTTCCCTCTATCCACCGATCAGTCTGAACCTCATCAGGTACAACTCAGAATCAAACTCTGTCAAGACACCATTGCTACCTGGCTAACCAAACAATCCCTCTCTGCAGATTACTCTGTGAACCCAGTCCTGGACCTGGACCAGAACCAGTGCCATATTTACTCTCTGTGTGTTTACCAAAATAAACTGTTAAACTTTTACTCAGTTTCCTGTGGTGTTCTGCATGTGGGTTTAATCAGAGAGACCCATCATGACAGTTCTGATAAGGATTACAGGAAAAGCAAACCATGGAGTGCAGTTGGTGTAACAGCAGGAAGCAGGAACGAATAGTTGCAGCCAGTGAGCTTATATATTGAGGGAGGAGTGGAGAATAACAACCTGGTAAAATAATCAAGGCAAAGTTGAATAGCTCAGAGAGGAGAGTGCTGAGCAGGGGAAGCTTAAGGATGGTGGATAATAAGAATATTGGACTGAGTCAGAAACAGAGACTATAAACCAATGGAAAAATGTACCAAACTGAAGGTAAACTCAAATAAAAAAGGTCAAAGCACATAAGTAATGAACAAAACCTAACACAAAATCTATATGGATACACCCATTCAACAAAAAGCAATCTTAACACCAAAAGGTCATAACAGAGAGGTGTGTTTATTTGTACATTTGAAGGAAAAGTAAAGTTGAACAAGTTGTGAAAATGAACATAGAGACGTGCACATCATGGGTTAGGCACGGCTGGATAGCAAAAACCTGTACAGACCTTAGTTTTATCCATTTTAATTTCCAGCTCCACAACACATAATGGGGGCTGATCACCTGCTTAAGTGAAATGAAATGGATGAAAAAAACTGTAAACTGGGTTTTTACTTTCTAGACCCAGATTATCAACCTCTGGGATTAGGGTGTACAAACGCTTCTTTTCACATTAATGCTAGCGTAGATAATTTATTAAATAATTCCATTATTTGTGTAATTCAATTTAAAAAATGAAACCCGATCATTATACAGATCAAATTCACATAGACGGAAACCTTTAAGTTGTTTCAGTGTGTTGTTTTTAATGCTTATGGCTAGACTTTTGTAGGTAATTAAAAATACTATATTTCACATGAATAAACTATTTCTTCTGTTGACCGGACAAACAAACTGACTTCAGAACAGGGGATAACATCCTTCAAAATCCAGCCCTGGCTATGGGTCAATAATAATGATGCTGTAGCAGCTTATTTGGAAAACAAAGTTGAATAACTGGTTGATCCTGTGATCCTCCATCTTGATTTCACCACTCACTTTTTACAGTGCACCACAATAGTGGCAGCAAAAGCATGATGGTGTCCAATCTTTGCATCATCAAACCTTAAAACATTATTTCCCCAGAATGCATTTTAGCATGTCTAGGTGAGTGATACATTTCTGTCTCATTTAAATGTGTAAAGTTAGAATGGATTCTTTAAACTCTAGGTTCATATGCTCCACTAATCTGGAATTAACTTCGAGAAAACTGTAAAGGGTCTGAAATCTTTTAATATGGAATAAAAACGTATTTATTTAGAGGGACCTTTGACTTTTCCATCTAAACATGAAACATGAAGTCCAACTTCCTATAATCTTATTCTAAAAATTACAGGCTTTTACATTTTTATTGGCTTTCAATGGCTGTGGTGTGTTATTTCACCACAGCCATGTATTTTTCTTTTCCTTTTTGTCATCTACAGCTCTTTGAATTGCCTTTCTACTGAAATGTCCTTGTCAGGATTTGGTTGTGGTTAGAGGACCAAAATGCAGAGGCAGGGAGGCAGAGGTGAGTTTCTTGTGGATTTAATGAAGTGTTAACAAAAACTGAGGCAGTAATCCAAAAATCAAACATGAAAAAAGTCAAACAAACCAGAAACCATGGAGACATAAGGGGAAAAAACAAGGAAGACTCAGGGGCTATGTTAACACTGCAGCCTGAAGTGACCCAAATCCAATTTTTTTGCCCACATGCGACCTGGATCTGATCTGAACAACACACATCTGATTTTTTGCAATACGACCCAGGCCCCTTGGCTATGTGGTGCTGAATCCGATACGAATCTGATCTTTTCAAATGCGACCTGTGTCTGAAAGGCCACGTCGTATTCATCCGACCTGAACGTCATTAATAACCAACAATATGTTTAAACATATTGAAAACATTGTGTTTTCATGGTTGGAAAAGACCGCTAGATGCGCGCCAGCACTACCATCCATGTTTACTTCTGGAAAAAAAGAGCACGCTGGCCTGTGACGTCATTGCGTCCTCTACTGCGCATGCGGGACACTTGCTTTGTTTGACTGCAGTTCACATAGGAGATCACATACAAGTCGCATATATTTGGAAACATGAATGGCAACGTGAAAAAATCAGATTCTACAAAAAGATCGGAATTGAGCATCAAGGCTTGCAGTGTGAACATAGCTACAGAGACGGAGTTGGAGGAAGTTAGACGAGGAACCATCTCTGAGGAACTGCATAAGGAGTGTATTTATGGGAGACAGAACAAAGAGAGGACTAACAAGCAGATTGGGAGCAGGTGTGAACAGAGCAGAGAGGAAAGTAGCTAGGAAAAAGGAGAACACAAGAGGGCAGCAGAGGGCAACAAATAAAAACCTGAAAACTGAAAAATAACCAGATAACAAAACAAAATTAGAATTAAACCACTAAAACTAGAAAACATGGAGCAAAGTAAAACTTAATACAAAAAAGAAAACACAACAGAACCAAGACTGTGACAGTCCTACATAAATGAACTTGCCCTGCCTTGCCTTTCCTTGCCAGGTTCTTGAACAGCTGAGCCTATATTCCGTCATGGTGACAGAGTGGGTCTTCTTCCAGAGAAGGGCATTTAATAATTTACAAGGAAAGCCCTCAAAAGCAGATTATTATGTTTCTCCAAAAATAAAAATAAATATATTTTATCCAACCTATAATTGGTACAAAATTCTCTGTTATTTTTGACATCATGTTTATCTACCAACAAATAAAGATCTAACACCACCAGCATATAAAGCTATCACTTTCAAAGTAAACTAGTCTAGTAAACATTTGTTGATAGTACCGTACAATAATATCTTTTTTCAAATAAAGTGAGCATGGAGTGCTTCAAGGGAGTGAGAAGAGGCTCTTCTGGTGCTCTTTAGTAGAACTTCTACTCATACACTCAGGTGGAAAGTTAGGCTTTTTAATAACTTTCATCCTGAGTACCTCTGACCTCTTCTAAATTTGATATTTTTTTTAATTTAAGGCATAAAAAAGTTTATTCTCCAAGGATTTTTCGTTAAAAATACAGTAGAAAAAAAGGACCTAGATGTCTTTAAACTCAAACATCTGCACAAACTACATCACAAAATCTACCACTAAATCTACACAAAAAAGTGACTTTTTTACTCTAATAGAGTATTTGTCATAATTTCTACTCTTTTTTTTTTAAACTTCACTACAAACAACAATGCATGAATTTTGGGGAAAGAGTAAGTTTTACTTAGATTTCCTTATACCATTAAATGTTATGGCAGTATGTACATAAACCTAAAAATACTACATAAACTTTACTCTAAAAATGTAGCGTGCAAGGTGCATGCACACTGTAGCTCACAGCAGGACTGATTCTGTTACGTTACAGGATCACACACAGAGCAAGAGGTAGTCCCAATGACAGTCATTTTAGGAGGGTGCAACAGTATTGCAAAAGCCTGCTCGGTGCTCATGGGACTGATATATGCCCTGAACTTGGCATACCCTCCCACTTTGCACTACACTTTTGAAGTCTTTCAAAAACCTTTCCTGGAGTTGGAT